TCCCTGCATTTAAAAAATATACAAATAATAATAATTTATTTAGGGTAAGAATACATATTACGTATCAGCAAAGATTTCCTTCTGTATGTTAAGCTTTACCCAGGCAAGTGAAAATCTTAGTAAGAACATTTTACAACCCGATGTCCATCTTCTAAACTACACCTGTGTGTGTGTGTGTGTGTGTGTGTGTGTGTTGTGGGGGTGGGAGTCCCACTTTCTAATGTACAAGACTCTGATACCTGGATTGTTTATTGTCATAAATTGAGTTGCTTCTTCTTCTGGAAAAAATGCAAATGTTGTGATTATAGTCTTCTTTCACTTTCATGTGTTTGACTTGCATTAATTATATATTGGTAGAATTAAATGTTTCACAGTCTGAATTTGGACTTTTGTACATCTTGACAAGTGTTAGAAGCTTTCTCAGGTGCAGCAATGCCTGCCTCCGAAGGTCAGCTCCGTAAGCCAATGTTTGTACCACTATTTATGTGTTTGTTATTTTATGCTTCAAAAAATAAATTAGAAGAGAAAAATGAAGCTGCTGATACTAGTAACAAAGATGTTGGTCCCATCACTGTAATATAATTAAGGCCGAGATGGAATTGATCAATGAGCTGCATGTGTAAGTCTCCATCTCAAATAGACTTTCAAATGGTTGCATTATAAAGGAAAAAAACTAGATTCAATGAAATGTGTTAAATATTGTGCCTAAAAGGCACAATGTGTTCAGATATTTTATACTAGTTTTCAGTCTCTCAGCAACAGAGCACATCCACCCAGCTGCCACCACAGCTAAAACTACAATATTATTTGTTCTGAAATGTCTTTTATGCATGCTTTCAAGAACACATTATATACAAAATAGGTGTTTCTAAAGTGCTTCACTCTTCCTGCCCAGCCTCCCAGAGCCAAATACCCACATTGTTGCCCAGCTTTCATGGCTATACAAAAAGGCTCTGAGGCTGAATGTCATCTCTTCCCCACTGCTTGCTCCTTTGCTGGTGTTATATCCCAACTCTACTCAACATTTCCTTTGGCCCAAATGTTTTAGAACTCCACTGTCTTGGTCCAGTATAAATTTGTGATCTGTGTCAAATCCTCTTGTTGTGTAGTGAGGTGGGGAACGGGGCGAAGGCATGGGAAGATGCTGAGCATGCATCAGGTGCTGTGCGAGTGACCGTGAATGCTGGGAGGATGCTCCACTGCCCATTCCTACCACAATGAGGCGGAGGTGGACAAGCAGGCATGGGTGTGCAGTGAGACCACATCTACAGCTAGGCGTGCGAGGTGTCTGGAGACTTGAGGAAAAGGATGTATGAAGCCAGCAGCTAGTCAAAGCGTTCCTAGATAGCAAAACTCAAAATATCCTTCAGAATGGAATATCATCTATCTAAGAAGTAAAATTTTCAGTTGAATTTAGTGTCTAGTTCAGCTGACAGAGCCCAGGCTGTGTTATTTCCTGCAGTGGCCTGAATCTGCCTTTCTAAAATTCATATGTCGAAATCCCAAACCCTCATGTGATGCAGTAGAATTACGGCCTTTTGGAAGTTAATGAGATCAGGAGGATGGAGCCTTCGACAGATGGATTGGTGCCGTTATCAAGAGGGACCCCAGAGCACTCCTCTTGCCTTCTTTCTATTATGAGATCAATGGTAGCTCAGCAGTCTGCGGCCTGGAAGAGGCCCTCACCAGAACCTGGATGTGCTGGCTCCTGCTCCCGGGCTTCCTGCCTCCCAGAACTAGAGAGAAATGCATATCTGTTGAGTAAGCCACAATAATTTATTATTTATTATTACTGTTATTATTTATTTATTTATTATGCATTTCCAAATGAGCTAAGACATTTTCTCTTTCTCTAAAAAAACAGGAGTAAAGAGACAGAAAAGGGAATGAATTTCCAAGAAGATCAGAGTAGAATGGAAAAATATCAGAGGAGGGAGAATTATTAAGGATTCTGGCATCTCAAAGTGTGGATGCTGTTCTGAGCCAACCCAGGACAAGGCTCTGGAAAGGTAGGAGCTCTCTTTTGGGGGAATAAGAGAAGAATCCCATTCCTGAATCAGCAGGTACAGACACTTGCAATGTAAGAGGCACACGCAGAAATGTTTACCTGAAAACTGCCTGGTGGATGGCTAGGAATGCGGCCCTGCTTAACACACCACGAGGAGAGGGACTTTGCAGCAAGACAGTGAATGATCTGCTTCTCAGCGGTGGCGGGGCCCTGTGAGTAGAATCCTTACATGCCCTCTTCCATGGGCTTGTGGGATAAGAGCAGAGCAGCCTGCAGGCCTGTCTACCCCCAGCCTTGAGAAAATTCCACCCAGCGAAGACAAGATCCACCCATCCATCCAGAGCTCACAGTCAGCCTTGTGAGAGAATGGCCAGAAATAAAACAGAAACTCCTTTATTAAGTAAATCCCTAATTTATAAATACTTTGAAACAATGAAGAATCACCAGCTACTGTGGTAAACAGAGCACACAGAAGAGAGGCGAGTAAAGGTTCTAGTTAGCACTGCGCTGAGCACTTTGTGCCAGCACTTTTCTAAAGATTTGCAAATATTAACTGATGTAATCTCACATCCACTCTGTAGGGTGGTTTTCTTTTCTCTTTTCTTTTTTTTTCGTTCTCTCTTTATCTTTTTCTTTCTTTCTCTCTTTCCTTCTTTCTTTCAGCAAAATCTCACTGTCACTCAGGTTAGAGTGCAGTGGTGGGATCACAGCTCACTGCAACCTCGACCTCCTAGGCTCAAGCAGTTCTTCTGCCTCAGCCTTCTGAGTAGCTGGGAGTACAGGTGCACAACACCACATGAAGTTTATTTTTTAAAATGTTTGGTAGAGACAGGGTCTTGCTGTGCTGTCCAGTCTGGTCTTGATCTCCTGGCATCAAGCAATTATCCCACCTTGGTCTCCAAAAGTGTTGGGATTACAGGTGTGACCACCATGCCTGGCCAACACCCGCTTCTTAATCATTGCTGGAGTCATAGAGCCTCACACTGTGCCATCCACAGTACCATAGAGAGAAAGGAAAGCACTTGTAAATGTGTATGTTACCATCCCCCCTGCCTCCCAGGGAGGGGAATCCTCCTGGGATTCATCTCCATACCCATCACCCACTCAGGGCCCTCTGCTGAGTGGGTGATGGGTATGGAGATGTGGGGGAGGGGATCCCTCATCAGGGCCCTCTGCTGAGTGGGTGGTGGGTATGGAGATGGGAGGGAGGTGAATCCCTCGTCAGAGGCCCTCTGCTGAGTGGGTGATGGCTATGGAGATGCAGGAGAGGAGGAGTTGGTACAGAGTTGAATTTTCCAATACACCACAGAAAAATAAATGAAAAGTAAGGCAGTGGCTAACACAGGGATGGGGTAGGGCCAGGGGAAAATTGAGTGGCTGGCAAGCAGGTAGCAGGAAAGGGGAATGATGGGGGCTGCAAAATTACAGAGCAGGTTCTGAAGTTGTCTGACAGGTGCTGAGTGATAGAGACCTTTTTCTGGATCTCCCAGTGAAATTTTCAGTAAACACGTGACTGCCACTTTTGTGAAAGGAGCTTGCATTTGGGGGCCGCAAGGTTGCCACAAGGTTAGATCCGAGGGTGCCCGTGGGAGGCCTGCCACAGCCAGGCTGCTGGCGAGAAGGCACTTGCTTCTTCCCACAGTTGCACTGGTACATGGCAGCCCCTGACTCAGGTCCACGGTCTGACGCTGCCAGGTTCAAAGTCAGACTTTACACCTGGCCCAGATCTCCCACGGGCTATTTATTCCTATCTCCTTTCAAATTCAGCAACATATTATACCATCTTGAAGAAGATGGGGCAGAGCAGAGGGGAGGCTAGAGGGACAATCCCAAACAGAGTCCTAAATCTACATCAGATTTTCCTTTTAACCAAAACCTACTTGGTATTCAGCAGAAATTTTGAGTCTAGTGTTTGACATAATTTAATAGTGTGCGTTAATGACTATAATTTTCCCCTGTAGTCGAGATACTAAGAAAATGAGAAGTGCTTTATCTATACCACACACAACAGTAACCGGGACAGACTTGGAAATGACAGTGAAGAACAAAGTCTGTGAGGGCCAACAGCTTGTGCAGAACTTCAGAGACACGCAGCACTCCACGCAGAAAGCACATTCCACTCCAGATATAAGAGGGTGGGAAACTCCCTGATATTTGTTATTTTCTTTTATGCTGACCACATTGCCGTGTGGTGGGTAATACAGTTTCCACTGCACAGGTACCAAAGCTGAGGTCAGAGGGGTTAAGAGAGGGTCTGTATCCGGGAATAAAATTCAGATGTTGTAAGTTCAATTTATTTTATTTTATTTTTTATAGACAGAGTCTTGCTCTGTTGCCTAGGCAGGAGTGCAGTGGTGCAATCACAGCTCACTGCAGCCTCGAACTCCTGGCCTCAAGCAATTCTCTTGCTAAGCCTCCTCAGTAGTTAGGACTACAAACATGTACCACCACACCAGGTTATTTTTTTCATTTGTTGTAGGAACAGGGTCTTGCTATGTCGACCAGGCTGATCTCAAACTTCTGGCCTCAAGCAATCCTTCCACCTCAGCCTCCTGAAACACTGGGATTACAGGCCTGAGCCACTATGCCAAGCTATCAAGTTTTATTTATTTATTTATTTATTTATTTGAGACGAGTGCAGTGGCCAGATCTCAGCTCACTGCAAGCTCCGCCTCCCGGGTTTACGCCATTCTCCTGCCTCAGCCTCCCGAGTAGCTGGGACTACAGGCGCCCGCCACCTCGCCCAGCTAGTTTTTTGTATTTTTTAGTAGAGACGGGGTTTCACTGTGTTAGCCAAGATGCTCTTAATCTCCTGACCTCGTTATCCACCCGTCTCGGCCTCCCAAAGTGCTGGGATTGCAGGCTTGAGCCACCGCACCCGGCTGGGGATTTCTTTTTTAAAGCAGCAAGTACTATCTGAACTAAAAAGGTGGTTTTGCAGCTTGCTACGGATTATGGAAATAGTTGATATCTATATTGGTGAGGTTCTTACCAAAACTCAAACAGAAGGAATGCCATTTTGTAGAACAAATCTCAACTTTAAACTTCTTTCATCCATGGGTAATCCCTGCATTTAAAAAATATACAAATAATAATAATTTATTTAGGGTAAGAATACATATTACGTATCAGCAAAGATTTCCTTCTGTATGTTAGCTTACCCAGGCAAGTGAAAATCTTAGTAAGAACATTTACAACCGATGTCCATCTTCTAAACTACACCTGTGTGTGTGTGTGTGTGTGTGTGTGTGTTGTGGGGGGTGGGGAGTCCCACTTTCTAATGTACAAGACTCTGATACCTGGATTGTTTATTGTCATAAATTGAGTTGCTTCTTCTTCTGGAAAAAATGCAAATGTTGTGATTATAGTCTTCTTTCACTTTCATGTGTTTGACTTGCATTAATTATATATTGGTAGAATTAAATGTTTCACAGTCTGAATTTGGACTTTTGTACATCTTGACAAGTGTTAGAAGCTTTCTCAGGTGCAGCAATGCCTGCCTCCGAAAGGTCCAGCTCCGTAAGCCAATGTTTGTACCACTATTTATGTGTTTGTTATTTTATGCTTCAAAAAATAAATTAGAAGAGAAAAATGAAGCTGCTGATACTAGTAACAAAGATGTTGGTCCCATCACTGTAATATAATTAAGGCCGAGATGGAATTGATCAATGAGCTGCATGTGTAAGTCTCCATCTCAAATAGACTTTCAAATGGTTGCATTATAAAGGAAAAAAACTAGATTCAATGAAATGTGTTAAATATTGTGCCTAAAAGGCACAATGTGTTCAGATATTTTATACTAGTTTTCAGTCTCTGGCAACAGAGCACATCCACCCAGCTGCCACCACAGCTAAAACTACAATATTATTTGTTCTGAAATGTCTTTTATGCATGCTTTCAAGAACACATTATATACAAAATAGGTGTTTCTAAAGTGCTTCACTCTTCCTGTAGCCTCCCAGAGGCCAAATGCCACATTTGTTGCCCAGCTTTCATGACTGTAAAGGCTCTGAGGGCCTGAATGTCATCTCTTCCCCACTGCTTGCTCCTTTAACTGGTGTTATATCCCAACTCTACTCAACATTTCCTTTGGCCCAAATGTTTTAGAACTCCACTGTCTTGGTCCAGTATAAATTTGTGATCTGTGTCAAATCCTCTTGTTGTGTAGTGAGGTGGGAACAGGCGAAGGCATGGGAAGATGCTGAGCATGCATCAGGTGCTGTGCGAGTGACCGTGAATGCTGGGAGGATGCTCCTGCCCATTCTACCACAATGGCGGAGGTGGACAAGCAGGCATGGGTGTGCAGTGAGACCACATCTACAGCGTAGGCGTGCACGAGGTGTCTGGAGACTTGCGAGAAGGATGTGTAAACCAGCAGCTAGTCAAGCGTTCCTAGATAGCAAAACTCAAAATATCCCTTCAGAATGGAATATCATCTATCTAAGAAGTAAAAATTTTCAGTTGAATTTAGTGTCTGGTTCAGCTGACAGAGCCAGAACGTATTTATTTCCTGCAGTGGCCTGAATCTGCCTTTCTAAAATTCATATGTCGAAATCCCAAACCCTCATGTGATGGCAGTAGGAGGTACGGCCTTTGGAAGTTAATGAGATCAGGAGGATGGAGCCTTCGTGAATGGATTGGTGCCGTTATCAAAGGGACCCCAGAGCACTCTCTTGCCTTCTTTCTATTATATAAGGATCCAATGGTAGCTCAGCAGTCTGCGGCCTGGAAGAGGCCCTCACCAGAACCTGGATGTGCTGGCTCCCTGCTTTCAGGCTTCCTGCCTCCAGAACTGAGAGAAATGCATATCTGTTGAGTAAGCCACAATAATTTATTATTTATTATTACTGTTATTATTTATTTATTTATTATGCATTTCCAAATGAGCTAAGACATTTTCTCTTTCTCTAAAAAAACAGGAGTAAAGAGACAGAAAAGGGAATGAATTTCCAAGAAGATCAGAGTAGAATGGAAAAATATCAGAGGAGGGAGAATTATTAAGGATTTCTGGCATCTCAAGTGTGGATGCTGTTCTGAGCCAACCCAGGACAAGGCTCTGGAAAGGTAGGAGCTCTCTTTTGGGGGAATAAGAGAAGAATCCCATTCCTGAATCAGCAGGTACAGACACTTGCAATGTAAGAGGCACACGCAGAAATGTTTACCTGAAAACTGCCTGGTGGATGGCTAGGAATGCGGCCCTGCTTAACACACACACACGGAGAGAGGGACTTTGCAGCAAGACAGTGAATGATCTGCTTCTCAGCGGTGGCGGGGCCCTGTGAGTAGAATCCTTACATGCCCTCTTCCATGGGCTTGTGGGATAAGAGCAGAGCAGCCTGCAGGCCTGTCTACCCCCAGCCTTGAGGAAAATTCCACCAGCGAACCAGATCCACCCATCCATCCAGAGCTCACAGTCAGCCTTGTGAGAGAATGGCCAGAAATAAAACAGAAACTCCTTTATTCGTAAATCCCTAATTTATAAATACTTTGAAACAATGAAGAATCACCAGCTACTGTGGTAAACAGAGCACAGAAGAGAGACGAGTAAAGGTTCTAGTTAGCACTCGTTGAGCACTTTGTGCCAGCACTTTTCTAAAGATTTTGCAAATATTAACTGATGTAATCCTCACATCCACTCTATGGGGTGGTTTTCTTTTCTCTTTTCTTTTTTTTCGAGACGGAGTCTCGCTCTGTTGCCCAGGCTGGAGTGCAGTGGCATGATCTTGGCTCACCACAAGCTCCGCTTCCTGGGTTCACACCATTCTCCTGCCTCAGCCTCCCAAGTAGCTGGGAATACAGGTGCCCGCCACCACGCCTGTCTAATTTTTTGTATTTTTAGTAGAGAAGGGGTTTCACCGTGTTAACCAGGATGGTCTCGATCTCCTGACCTCGTGATCTTCCCACCTCAGCCGCCCAAAGTTCTGGGATTACAGGCGTAAGCCACCGCGCCCGGCCTCTGGGGTGGTTTTCACAAAGGAGGAAACCAAAGCACAAAGGCTAGATGGCTTGCTCTAGGTCAAAAAACGAGTGAATGCCAGAGCCGGGATGAAAACCCAGGTTCTCTGTCTGTCATGAACATATACTGTGTGGCTCTGAAGAGAAAAGAGAAAGTTAAAAGGAGATAATCTCTTATAGACTTTAAATAATTTTTCCAGTGAAATTCAAGAAACTGTCACATCCATAGAAATAAAACAAAGCCAAGTTGCTATATAAAAGAAACAATATGTAAATAAGAACAAATCACTGAAAATTTAAAATATGATGGCCAAAATAAAAATGCAGTTAAAAAGTCGTAGAATTCATCAAGTCTTTCAAAGTATAGAGCAAAACACAAAGCAATAAAAAAGGAAAATAAAATTTGAGGAGCATTGGCAATCAATTTATTGAGAAGGCAGTCGCCATCTAATAAATGTTCTAGAAAAAGAAAAGTGGAAAAAAATGAGGGAGGCTATCAAGACTGTTTCGTAGAACTGAAGTGTATCTGAGGTTTTAGATTTAAAATGTCCACTGATTTCTTGGTAGCATGAATACAAATATTCATGCTTATTCCCAGGAACTAGATATAAACTTATTCCCAGGAAATTTCAAAGAACCAAGTGTCAAGAGAAGTTTATTCACTTCCAGAAGTGAACCGGAATCTTCAGACTGGTACTGAAATATTTCACTGCCACTAGTAGGCATGAGAAGGCAGAGACATGATGTCTTAGATGTTGTGAAGAAAAATTATTTGAGCTTGGCTATTTCCAGCCTTCCCTGTTCTTGCCATCCTGCTTTGTGCCCCGGTAGACCAGCAGCTATGCACTACCTTACCCTCCAACCTTTAGTTGGGTTGTGAGGATGAGAGATACCAGCAGAAGACTGAGAGGAGAAAGAGAATGAAGTCAAAGTATGTATCCCCTCATTGTGTTCCTGCCAGAGAGTTGCAGATTGGCTGCGTCTCTTTCCTCAAGACCACAGGTCAAAGAAGGAAGCCCTCCCTGTTCATCTGCTCTCTCTTTGGGCTTGCAGTGGATCTGCCACGATCCCTTTGATTTTCCTAAATGTTACCCACATCTTATAAAACCCATATCTTTCCTTATCCAAATTTGCCCAATTACATAGTTAGGGGAACTATCTGAGACAGATAAACTCTGATAGAGAGTATGGAATTTCAAATCTAGAAATTCATACTCTCTAAACTATTAACAGAATAAGAAACAGAGATGCATGTATATTACCTATAGTTATAAAAATAACTAAAAGGATAACTACACATAAAATTATACTGTCAGGAAAATGTATGAGGAAGACATCAGAGGGAACTAGAGTAGTGTAAAGAAGTAAGTTATTTGTCTCCCACATTCAAGTGAGGAAAGAAAAGAAGTTTTATCTGAGGAATGCGAGCCCTTTCAAATGATGAGGCCTAGAGAGACATGAAATGAGACAGCAATCACATCCTACTTCTGCCTTTAAGCTACGTATTCACCTATTGAAACAGCTTTCTATTGTCACAGATAACTATTAATTAACCTAATCATGCTTCACCAGATGCTATATTCCACACTCCATTGTGTAAAGAATGTATAGCTGGTCAGTGATCAGTTTTATTTCTGTAAACCAATAAGAATTCCTCACAGAACCTTGCATCACCACACTCTCTGTCTCTCTCTCTCTCTCTCTCTCTCTCTCTCTCTCTCTCTCTCTTTTTTTTTCCTTTAAAAGCCTGCCATAACAAAGGCCAAATACAGCTCATATCCGAGGTAACTTGGACCTGAGCCTCCTGGACAGTTGTCCTTATTTTAGCACGTGAACTAAAGACTCACAAGGCTCACAACTTTGGAAAGGAGATCTTTATTTATCATGAAGGGCTGCAGCCTGCAGGCTGGTCATTCCATGGGCTGGGAAATGTAGCCTCCAACTGAAGCCCAAAGCAAGCACATTGAGGGAGGTGTGGAGGGAACAGGAATTTAGGCTGAACAGGTTGGCTAAGTGTATGTATTTAACAAGCTATAGGAGACATCATGAATGTCTGTGAAAGGAGAAACAAGCACATTTGCAATTGAGTTTCATCCTTCTTCATGGGTCACA